TAAACTTCTTTTACTTTCCGAGGTGGTCTCATATCTAGGATGGCTTTTATCTTGTCCGGGTTGGCCTCAATACCGTGCCGATTGACAATGTAGCCTAGGAATTTGCCCGAGGTGACGCCAAAGACACATTTGTTGGGGTTCAATTTCATGCTAAACTGACGCAAGATTTAGAGGACAGAATCTAAGTCGTGTATTAATTCTTGTGAAAACTGTGTCTTGACAACCATGTCGTCTACATAACACTCTATCTCCGTGCCAATCAGGGGCCAAAACAGCCTATTCACAAGTCTTTGGAAGGTTGCCCCGGCATTTTTTAATCCGAAGGGCATGACCTTGTAACAGTACAGACCGAACTCGGTTATGAAGCTGGTTTTTTCCTCATCGGACTGGTCCATCCGGATTTGGTTKTAGCCTGAGTAGGCGTCCAGGAAGCTTAGCAACTCATGTCCCGAGGTCGCGTCCACTAGGCAGTCAATTCTGGGGAGGGGGAAGCTATCTTTCGGGCAAGCTCAGTTCAGGTCAGTGTAGTCGACGCACATGCGCCACTTGCTGTTCGCCTTTTTTACCAGCACAGGGTTGGCTACCCAGCTCGAGTAATGGACTTCCCTTATGAAGTCCGCTGCAAGGAGCTTCTCGACCTCCTCGTCGACCGCCCTCCAGCGTTCTGGGGCTAAGTTGTGTTTCTTCTGTCTAACAGGTCTGACTACAGGGTCAGTGTTAAGTTTGTGAGTTATAAGACCACGGTCAATACCGGGCATATCGGCCGCGGTCCATGCAAAAATATCTAAATTTTGAAGTAAAAAACTCACCAGTTCGGTCCGTAGGGGTTCCTCAACGGAAGCACCGATCTGGAGTGTGCGAGTTGGGTCCTTAGCCGAAGTCGGGATTGCCACTGTTTCCTCTGTGGGCGAAGCTCGTTCCTCGCCTTGCTCCGCAGGCCGCTCCAGTTCGAGGTCGTCGGCTCCCTTGGTTTTTCCCTTCAGGGAGGCAACATAACACTTGCGGGACTCGAGCTGGTCGCCCCGCACTACCCCCACACCAAAGTCCGTAGGGAACTTCATGGCCAAATAGTAGGTGGAGACCACCGCCCGTAGGATATGCGTGATCGGCCGCCCTATTATGGCATTGTATGGGGAGGGGGTCGCGACCACCAGGAAATCATGGTTGAGTCTGACCGCACAAGGCCATGTGCCGACTTCCACAGGTACTGTTATTTTTCCGAGGGGCCTGACTTCCTCTCCGCTGAAACCCTCCAGRGGAGTGTTCGCGGGCTTCAGCTCGCTCCTCTGTAACTGTAGCTGGTCAAATGCTGATTTAAAGAGGATGTCCGCCGAGCTGCCCGAATCTACGAGTACGCGTCTGACCTCGAAGTCGCTGATCCTTAGTTTGATGACAAGCGCATCATCGTGGGGGTAGTGGACCCCTCGCGCGTCGTCCTCCGTGAAGAAGATTGGTTCTTCGGTCTTTGGTCTCTTTGGAGGGTTCCGCTCCTCGAGGGCCGCTTCGCGAACTGAAGTCCAGGCTGCTGCCGAGGTACACCCTGCTACCACCGAGCCTCCCACAATTACATGGATGGTTCCCCGAAATGGCCTCTCCACCGGAGGCTGTCGCTGCAATGGTTCGGCAGGTCTGCTGCTAGATTCGGGGGCTTCCTTTTCGTGCTCCCCTGGCCGATCTGCCTTATTGTTATTATTGTTGTGCTGTACAAAGTTTCTCATGTATCCGCGACGGATGAGCCCTTCTATCTCATCCCGGAGATTATTACACTGCTCGGTACTATGACCATGGTAGCTATGGAAACTACAATACAAATTCTTATTTCTTTCGTTCGGATTACCCTTTAGGCGAGGTGGCCACTTCAAGTATGGGGCGTCCTTGATCGTCATTAAGATCTCGGTCCGCCTTGTGTTCAATGGCGTGTAATCCGTCCGAACTGGTGGGGGAGCTCGGAACGATTGGTTCGGCTTCGGCTCTCGGGCCGGGTTTTTCGTGTCTACTGGGTTGGAGGGCTCGCCTTCCCTCTTTCTTTTCTCGTTCCCGCCCTCGGTTCATTGGTTGATTTCTTCCTCTATCCTCATGAACGTCCGCGAGCTTGAGGAATTCGGCCACGGTTGCGGGCTGGTTAGCTACCATGTGCCATTTGAATTCTTTATGCGTTACCCCTCTTTTTGCYGCCGCGAGCTGCACCGCGGGGTCYAACCGCGGTATCTRCAAGCATGCTTCATTGAATCGCTTGATGTAGCCCCGTATGGATTCTCCTTCCCTTTGGACTACTCCGAAGATGCTTTCCTCTGCTCTGGGCACCGTTTGCTGGTGACAAAGTCTGCGGTGAAGACCTGCACGAACTGAGCCCAGCACTTTATCGACCCGGGGGCCAGGTTCCAGTACCAAGTGCGGGCTACCCCCCTGAGGGTGGTGGTGAAGGCCACACACATGCATGATTCACTGGCCCTGGCGAGGTGCATTTGGGACTGGAAAGCGTCAACGTGGTCGTTGGGGTCGAAGGACCCGTCATACTTGTCCAGAGGTGGGAGCTTGAAATCTCTAGGCAAGGGGACCGCCTGGAGTTCTGAGGCGAGGGGGGA